AAGATTTTATTTATTTATTTGAGAGAGAGAGAATGAGAGACAGAGAGCACGAGAAGGAAGAGGGCAGAGGGGGAAGCAGACCCCCCGCTGAGCAGGGAGCCCGATGTGGGACTCGATCCCGGGACTCCAGGATCATGACCTGAGCCGAAGGCAGTCGCTCAACCAACTGAGCCACCCAGGCGCCCCTTTAGTGAGTATTTATTGATGAGGGTCTCCTGATCTCTTTTCTCTCAGTCTCCGGGAGAATCAACCTGCCTAGAAAGCATCAAATAGCAGCTTGCATTGAGAAAGCCTCTGCTGGGTGATAATGTGGCACCTAGGTTTTCTCAGACAAAGTAGAAGTAAACATTTATTTGGAGAATTTTCCAGCTGCTCTGGGCAATTAGGGTTAATCTCTATTTTATTTCACTAGGAAAATTTGGGGCCTGAATTATCAAAAGGAGTGATTCCATATTCTTCCCTTAAGTGGGCTACCCGATACTACAAGAGATATTATTGACATAGATCAGTGGTCCGCAAAAGGACTTGGCCTGAGTAGTTGAAATTTAACTCTCCTTTGCTTGATCCTCTGGTGATCTCTCTGCCTTCTCAGAAGTCAACTTGTCCCAAATTAGAGGGAAAATGTACAGAAGGGAGTTCTGTATGGTCTAGGACAGTATGTGTTGGTAGAACATTCAATCTGATGCTAGAATGATTTTTTTCCATCTCTAGTTTCTGGTTATTGTAAAATAAACATTGCATTGGGCATCAGAAGATAGGGGTTCTAAATGTGGCTCTTCCACTTACTAGTTGTAGATCCTAGTTAAATCATTTAACCATTGCAGACTTTAGTTGCCTTGTGAATAATAAGAAGATTTAATTAAAAATTCATAAAATTTCTACGACTCTAGATCATAGAATTGAAACGTACTCTACAACATGAGCCTTTTTTCTTTCCTTTCTGCTAGTGCTATTTTATTTTTCCTCCCTTGAGCATTATTCAGGCAATTGCAAGCACAATACTGATTCATAGAATGAACATGTGGTGATTCTAAGAATTTCCAGTAAGATTAGCAGTTAGGATTTCCTCTCTGGAGGAATCTGGAAACCCAGAGTCCACGCACAGCTACTCCACGGTGGCAATTTCAACATGACCACATGCTCCAGGATGGTATTTACAGAGATGTAAGATGATATTTACAAAGGCTGTAATCAAACCCAGATATGATTATCTCTGTTCACAGAAGATTCCACCTCACTCATGGACTTCCTTCAGTGACTTCTTTTCTTGTATGAGAAAATCTGTACCTAAATTCATGAACAGCATAGAATTGTTGATGGCATTTTAAACCAAATATGTCTGTCTAGTATAAGCCAAAGATCAGATTATTTTTATTCCTTTTAACGTATTTTACATTTCTAGATTTTAACATATTTCACATTTCTAGAAACCTTCTATGCTGAAGGCTGAAGGATAAAACAATATGATTGTACTGCCAAGGGGCCTTACAACATTACTTTGTTAATTTTTAAATCTAGTCTAATGATCATCTTGGCAAGTGTAGAAACTTGATCTTTTCATTATCCCATAGTGGCTGTGCTCAGAGGAACTGACATACGGTAACCAAACTCACAAGAGGTTGCATATTCTCAATTTCTTTATTTAAATAGGAGATATCCAATTCCACCAATAGGAATGTTCTTATACCCTATCCAAGATAACTGCCCAGATACTTTAGTATGAATAATTTGGGAAGTTAATGCAGTCATCATAACGTTGCTTGGTGAGCAGGGAATCATGGCAAAAGATAGTTCATGCTAGTTATGGTGGAAATTGACAATCCATCCCTGTCCTCCAGTAGAGACTTCTCTAGGGATTATGTCTCCCAGATCCTGGTTTTCTTTCTTGGAAGATGGCATCTTGATACTTTGTTTCTTGCTGACTACCATTTCTTCACTGCTGACTGTGCTCTATTTATTAACATTTTCTTTCCTCAGATATGCTAATATCACTGATTTCACTAAGATGGTGGTTTTGTTCCTATTATCCTGGGAGATAGGCTGTATCCTATCATTATGTGTTTTAAATGATCTGATCATTCTGGTCTATACTAACATTCCTCTTTAAATTAAAAAGTACATCTAGTGCCTCTGAACTACAATGTCATTTTCCAAATGATCTTGGAAAATCACATGGAACTATGTGTTTTCTTATTTAGATGCCTGATCTCAATTCCAATTTAGTTCTCTAAAAATAGTTTAAATAAAATCAATTCAGCTATTTTAAATTATGAAATGGAAAGATAATATGCTAGTTTTCAAAGCTTAATTTCCTAATCTTAATTACATTTGGAAAAATAAATTTCATGGAAAAGTTATCAAGTTTATATTTCATTTTACTTAAAAAGATAAAAGGCATCTTAAATAAAACATCACAAGGATTTCTTCATAAAAACACTACTAATAGCTACTTACATCTGTTTAAGTTCTGTGTATTTGATGAAAACTTTATCTGGAAGACTGTGAATTTTGTTTTTCTTAAGAGACCTAAAATAACAGGTAAAACAGACTTTATTACAGGTTTAATGACCAACGAAAGTTTTCCTAGAAAGTGCATGCTTAAAAACAGGATATTTAATGATACTCCATGCTGCTTAACACATATTTGAAAATGACCGTGGTAACTGAAAACTTCCTCATGGGAGAATGAGAAGTCCATAAAGCAAAATTAAGCAGTTTGCACACATTTGACAAGTCTGGTTAGTATCATAGACTAGAATGTCTATGGTGATTTAACATCTTTACTCTCTGGGTAATTTAACAAAATACAACAAACAAAACAACCCCCCCCAAAAAAAACCAACAGGAAATCCTAAGCAACTCGGGGCGCCTGGGTGGCTCAGACGGTTAAGCGTCTGCCTTCAGCTCAGGTGATGATCTCCAGGTCCTGGGATTGAGCCCGACATCAGGCTCCCTGCTCAGCAGGGAGTCTGTTTCTCCCTCTTCCTCTGACTCTCCCCACTGCTCCTGCTTTCTCTCTCTCTCTCTCTATCTGTCTCAAATGAATAAATAAATAAAAAAAAAAAGAAAATCCTAACCAACTCATGCATGGTCAAATTATAACATGATTGCAAATTCCTGAGGCTCTCAAAGCATTTTTCCAAAGTACAGGAAAATTTGCACAGTGATAACACAGCTAGCTTCATGGATCTTTTATATCTTTGCAATCTTGGACAATTACTGCTATTTAAAATGAGATAGAATAAGCTAGTGGTCTTCCTTTTTATTTCCATTTTTAGTTGTACAGTACTGGCATTTTAGTAAAAACAATAGATCAGAAAGTAACTGAAATAAACACTCCAGACCACAGATATTTGTGAGTTAAATGATATTCAAGCTAATCTAACACTCAGTGTTTAAAACCTGTTTTCCTTGGAGAAGAATTCTCTAATGGCTGGTGGTTTAAAGGGAGCTTCTATTACTTTGCTAGTATACAAGTAACAAAACAGAACAAGGGGAGGTTAGATTAGACTACATTGTTTCCATATGATTTTACAGGCAAATATCAGCAAGATGCGAAGTCTACTCACAGTAATGTAATATTGCTGGAAATCAGTGGCACAGACTTTAAGCCGACATTTACACATTCCAATTCAGTTCCTTTGCAGTCACAGGGTTGTGGATACTGATTTAGAACTAGGGGGCAAAAGAGTAGTATTTCACTGGGAAAACAATACTTTTTTAAAATTATGACCTTATCTCTAATAAATGACATTGTTCTCTCTTCATCGAAAGTATAACATTTACACCTTCAGTGCACTAATTTGGGCCCATAATAAAAGCAAACAAGACTTCTCACCTAGCCAAATATAGACTAATGTGGTGTTTCATCTCAGTTCTAGCTTCCAGTGGTCATTTCAGAGGCACTTAATAAGTGATTAGAAAGAAACCACAGAAAGGTTTAAATGGCAAAAAAGCGTATAGTGAAGCAAGATTAAGTTCTCTTCAATGAAAAACCTTACTATGATGGAGTAAATCTGTAATGGGTAAAATTGAGTCAATTTAATTGAATTGAATGACACAAAGAGGTTGCTCAATAAATGCTTGTTGATTAAAATTAAATTCCATTCTTTTTCCCCTTTCAAACTTCTGGAGCTGGGAGAAGAGAGGGACGCAGTTTCTGCTGTAGCCTCCATTGTGCCTTATTGAAATCAACTGAGTCAGATTCCCTCTTATTTTCGTTCTTTGTTTTTCATTACTATAAAGTTATAGTGGAAGATAAAAATTGTATAGATGCTATAAAGCGGAGAGAACCAAAGATCCATCTATCTGAAACATTCAGAAGAAAAATAAAACTTCAGATTTTACTGTGAAGAAACTTACATAATTATTAAGATAATGGCGTATAAAAGGAGTGAGAAATCTACAGAGGAACCAGGCCAAGTTGTCCCATGGGACAGATAATCACTGTGTGTGTGTGTGTGTGTGTGTGTGTGTGACAGAGAGAGAAAGAGAGAGAAGCGATATTTATGGAGCACTTGATTTTGCCTCTGATCCTATGGGTAATTGTTTTGATGGGAGCTAAGAACATGAGGATTATTTTCCAACTTTTGTATTTATTATTATTTATTTAAATCTTTATAAGTTCTTTCTAATTGCTTTGTTTCCTTTAAATCACTTTTATCCAAACTTTTTAAAATCAATGTCACTGAATTTTGGTAAGTTCAACAAACTTTTATTGAGTACCTGCTTAATTCAAAAGATGCATTCTAGTGTATAAAATTCTGGAAAATATTCTATGTTGTTTATAAGTTTATGCTAATTAGCTCAACTTCTTAAAGATAAGTTCAGAATGTTTACTTCAATGTTTATTGACATCAAAAATAGTGGTTATATTATTAGATTGAAAACCTGGGGTTTGAAACTCTTATTTACCAGTAAAAGAATCCCATGTAGTCCAAGCTGAGCCTGTTGTCTAAATGAGCAATGTGAACATAGACCCCTCACCTACAAGTTAATCATACCCACAGGCTCTGTATTCTTCTTCAGGAATGCTTCTTGCATCTCTATCTTAACTTTTCTCACTGACATTTTCTGGTTTTAGATTATGAGTATTAATCTGAAGTATTGCAGGAAACATAATGATCAGTATCTCTTTCACTGTACTTTCTCCTCAGCCTTGACAAGGTTGACATTTGGGGAGGCCCATTCTCCACTGTGGGGGGCTGTCCTATACATTATAGGATGCACAACAGCATCCTTGTCCTCTACACACTAGATGCCAGTAGCAACCCATCAGTTGTGAAAACCCAAATGTCTCCAGACAATTGTCAAATGTTCTCTGGGGGCAAAAGTTGCCCAGGGCTGAGGACCATTGTTCTAATCCATTCTCTATAATTTTGGTGGAAGAATCAGTCTCACAAACGCTCCTTATCATATGCTTCTTCCTCTTCATTAAAAGAAAATAAACCCACAATTTTGGTGGGTGGTTGTCCACCGTGTACAGCAGTGATCTCCACAATGGGATGTGTACAAGATGACTTATTGTGGTTCAGGAAGAAACTATTAGAACTTTCAGTTATATTTATTTTTAATCTTTTAATTTCTAATTTTTATATATGATGCTCCTGTGTATGTATAGTAAAGCACATAATAAGTGGTGATTATAAACTGGTATTATAAAGTGCATAATATAATATTAATATAGTGTTAAATATATATGCATTATATATACATAATAATATACATATATAATTGTATATGCACCTACATAATTGTGCCTATGTATACATTATACACATGTATGTAATATAGGTATGTATAAAGACATGATTCTATCTACAGAGTAGAGGCCAATGTCCAAGGTGTGCCCCCAAAACCCTTTATGGGCTGGCCTCATCTTCTAGGTCCAGCTCCTCTGCTCCAGGCACTCAGAACCACTGGGAAAAAAGGCATTGGGAGCTGCTCTGCACCTTCCTACCTCAGCGTTTGGCAGATCTTGCTTCCCTGCTTGTCCTGTTACCTCCTCCCATTTCCTCATCCAGGGACTTCTAAGTCCATCTCAATGTCATCTTCTCTGTGGTTCTTTCCCCACCCCTGGCAGAGCCTTCATTTCTTCCAACGGGCTTCCGCATTCCCTTGTGCAGACATCATTCCCCCAGTTTAGCACTATATTGTACCTTCCCTGCTTCCATCAGGATTTGTCTTTCTTGCTACAGTGTGAAGTGTTTGTGAGTTGGGGCCACATCTTTCTTATCATTGTACTCTCAGTCCCTAACATAGGGGCTGGAAAGTAGTTGGTGTTCAATATCTTTATTGAAGAAAGTAATTAAAGGGAAAAAGATCTTTATTATTTGTCATAATTATTCAATATCTATGTATTCTTGCAATCATAGGCTAATACATAAAATGAGCATGAATGGAGTATACTGTTTTCTTCCATCTCTTCAGTCCCATGGCAGACAACAGACCAGGTGACCATTGAAATACATTGAACTGAAATTGAAATTCCAAAGGGAATTTATCACACCACCCATATAAATCCATGCACTGCAAATCATGTTGCTCGCAAAGCTGATACTGAGTCTTTGAATCAATACCACTTACAGCACTCCTGTGTTAATGCCACATTATTAGCATTTCCATGGACTGTGCCAAATATGGTCGCCCATCCACTAGTGTCTCCTGTGAAATGGTGATGAATATGTGTCAGTTATTCTATAAATCAAATATCAAATTACAAAACAAAAGTATAAAAAATTGATAATGAAATCAATTAAAAATTTGTTTAAGTAATTGAATGATAACATAGATGGTAAGGGAGAAAAAGCTAGGCAAACATCTGGAGTTTTCCCCTTTTTTGCAGTTACAAATATTTCAAATGTATGTATCAGAAGATATATAATGGAACTAGATAATTATTTGACATACATACATGCATCTTGAAAAATATTACTTGTTTCTAATGCTGACAGTTTACATGTTTCATCTTTAATTTTGAGGTCCTCAGAAGAGAATACAATCTGAATTGTTTTGTCATATGCATATTGCTGCATATGTATGTGTAGATCCATACTTGATAGATGTAATGACTGTTAATAAAATATGTGTCACCTGCTCTTCTTCATAAAGCAAAAGCAAAGTTCCTTTTAATAAAGACTATCTAGTCCTATAGAGTGAAATCATATTTTCTCAGTTTGTCAGAGGACATAACCAGCTTATTTGCCAAATTTCCTTCTCCTTTTCTGCAAGAAAATTCTATTCTTTTTAAAAAAGAGGCCTGATTCTGAAATATCATTACTTTAATATATGCTATTAAAATGGTGAGATACATGTTATAATGTAAGATACTGAAGTTTGTTTACAAATATAAAAGTAAATTTAGATAGTTGCCCACAAGTCCCCTTTGATCCCTGAAACCTTTAACTTGTTTCTATTTCTTATTAATACCCACAATGGTTTTTAAAATAATTCTATTTGATGCCTTTACAAAAATTATTTTTAATTTGCATTCAGAACATCCTCATGAGGCAGATAAACATGAAGGGTCTCTGATTCCCACACAGTGAAGAGGAAATGCCAAGCATTTGATTGACTTGCCCATTGACATCCAGACAGCTGCCCTCATCACTGAGCAGTGAATGGGCACCTACGATGTACTCTACTGTCTTAGCTCTGGTGACACCAAAGCAAATAAGACACAAAGAACTCTTCTCAAGAAGTTCGCGTCTAGTGGAAGAAGTACAGTGAAAAGACAAGGCAGCCCTTAGTACAACCATATAGGTACAGCTGTGATGCTGTGGAAACAGAGAGAAAAGGTGCTTATCTTAGACTGGTGAGAGAGCTTTAGGACAGGGAATTGGGGCCAGGGAAGCCAAGCTTCTCAGGTGAAAAGGGGACCTGAACTGAATCCCAAAGAATGTGCATGAATGATCCACAGGAGGTGAGGGCAGAAGTTTCTGTGAGAGGGAAGCATGCATGAATAACAGGGGCAGAAAAGCAGATTCTAGAGACAGATGCCTGGCATTCCTGGACGATGTTGTCTCACTTTGATTGCTAGTTGGGCAGAGCCAAGGAATGGCAGTTCAGTGTGGTAGAACACAAATAGGATTCTTTCAGATTCAGGAGATCTGTGTTTTAGGGCTACTCGCTCATTAGCTAGACATGTCAACTTGGCATCAGCTTCAAGTAAAAATATACATGTTATATTAGACAATATATACACTCCCAACATACAGACCTGAAATGGCCTGTAAGAGTTTTGGTGATCTGGCCTCTGCTTACCTCCTCACCTTCTATATCCTTGTTCACTCCGATCAAGCCATTCTGGTTTTCTGTCCCACAAACACATTTTCTTATTTCATTGAGCCTCAGGGCTTTTACACTTGCTGTTTCTTTTGCCTGCAACTCTGTTCCTCTACGGTTTTTCATGGTTTGGTTCTCAATTCAAATGTTATTATCTCAGAGAGGTTTTCTCTGGTTGCATCTTTAAAATAACCCCCCCTTCAGGTCACTTTCTATCCCATCATCTTGTTTTCTATTCTTTCTGGCATTTATCACTTTCTGCAATATTTAGTATTTAAATAAATATTAATACTTAAATACATTTTATTTTTTTATGTACAGGTTTCTTGTCCTCCTTGTTCACATGGCCCACATGAACTCCATGAGGATAAGACCTCCTCTCCCTTGAGCCTACTGTGGGTGGGTGAGTTGAAGAGCCCCTGGCACAACATAGGTCTGTTCAATGAATCAGTTCTCTAGGCAGAGCCCATTCACACTTTATGAAATGTATTCCTGCAGCTGAACCAAATTACCAAGCCAAAAAGAGGTAGTCATAGGAAGACATTTAAAATTAGAATATGGGCATCCAAGTAGATTTCAAAATATGACTTCAATTTTTATCAATTTTATATTTCTGGTTTAAGCAACTCCTACCTGTGAAAATTCTGGTCATCATCACAAATTAATTGGGAGAAATTATTTGTGTTATAATAGGATTCCCTATAGAATACCAAATCATCTCTTCCCTTTCATGATAATTATTATTTGGTTCAAGCACAGTTTGAGGGCATTCACAAGGGGAGGTGGGCATTTGGAGCTGAGTGGGGGGACTCACCACAGTTGTCCTCGTCAGCCCCATTCCCGCAGTCATCCACACCATCACAGTGAAAAGCACGGGGTAAGCACTTGGTAAGATTCCCACAGGGAAAGTATCCTTTTTGGCAAAAAGGAGTACTGCCCTCAGTCAGTAGAAAATCTATGTGAAAGAGGGGACAGAAATCTCTTGTAATAGAAAGAAAGTGTTAATATGGCTAAACTTTTTCATGGCATCCCTTTTAATTTTCATAAGAACTCTATGAGTTGAGTTTGGTGTCATTCATAGCACACAATTTCTTTGAATAATATTCTTAATTATAACATTCTAAACAATCACGGTCATATCTAACACCAGCTATACCAACAATGGGATCAAGGTTCATTTTGAACTAATTTCAGGAAGGCAATAGTAAACAAAACCAAAGTAATTGTCTTACTTTTGTGTGAAATCAAAGAACTGTCCATTCTTGGAAACAGAAAGGTAAAGCCATGAGCTAACAGAATTAAATAGATGGATTTATTTACTTATTGACCCTTTATGAGAAGGATTTGAGGTGACATAATAAAAATACATATGCAAAAGGACAGTTCAAGTGTGAATTAGAGAGAAATCTAGAACCACATTTGTTTTTTGTTTTTTTTATTCTTATGTTAATCCCCATACATTACATCATTAGTTTT